CCTGCCCACTCTGCTCCCAGACAGCTTGGCACATCTGTCTTCCACCCTGAAGCAAGGTACCCCTCAAAACACCAACCTGACCATTCTCGTCCTTGCCCAAAGCCCCACATTCCTCTGCCCAGCACTGCAGGCCCACTGCAGCCCCTGTGGACCGCCTCGCCAAGCAGAACTCTAAGTGCCTCCATCGCAGACCTGTCCAAATCCAGGGGTCGCGGGCTGTCTCTTCCCTGCCTTGGAGGCCACCAGACTGCAAGGTAAGCCAGGTGCTGTCCTGGTTTACACAAAGTCCCATTCAACTCAATTTATCAAGTGCCTAGTGAGCACCAACTGTTTGCCAACCCACGGGGGATTCAGAGATGATGTGTCCCAGGAGCCCGCAGTGCAGTGGGTGAGACCCCGCCTCGTGAGGAACACCATGAAGGTGAGAGGTGGGCTCAGAGAAGGCACCTCCCCAACCCCGGGGAGCTTAGAGACCTGGGAGCCCCGCCTTCAGGCCTTCTGTTCCTGCGACAGGGGCGGCGGTGGCTGACCCAGGGCCTGGCGCAGCACTGGCACACAGGAGGTACACAGTCCCTAACTGATGGGTGAGAGTCCGCACGGAACGTGCCAGAGGGCCAAACAGAAGTGAGAGTCCGATTCGGGGCTTGGACCCCAAAGGAGCTCTCTTTCCTTCAGGGTGAGGAAACTGAGGCACAGAAAGGCCAAGTTGCTTGGCCAAGGTCATCCACCAAGCAATGGCAGCACAGGATTCTCACCGGGTCTGTCTGTTCTATCTGCAAATGTTGGGCGTGGCCCCGGAGCACGCGGCTTCAAAGCCCTGAGAGCCTCCGCAGCCAGACCAAAGCCAGCCAGTTTATCTAGGGGCAGCCCCCCATCTCCCAGAGGAGGAAGTCCAAGGGCTCCCCCTGGTGGCGGGCGAGGCTCCCTGCCTTCTTTTTTGAGACGGAGTTTCCCTCTTGTTGACCAGGCTGGAGTGCAATGGCGCAATCTCGGCTCACTGTAACCTCCGCCTCCTAGATTCAAGCGATCCTCAGTCTCCCGAGTAGCTGGGATTACAGCTGTGAGCCACCACGGCCGGCTAATTTTTTGTATTTTTAGTAGAGATGGGGTTTCACCGTGTTGGACAGGCTGGTCTCAAACTCCTGACCTCAGGTGATCTGCTCACCTTGGCCTTCCAAAGTGCTGGGATTACAGGTGTGAGCCACTGCGCCCAGCCCCTCCCAGCCTTCTTCACCAGCCCTGCTGCTGGCCTTGGCCAGAGACACCCTCCCACCCTTCTGCCCTCTGCGCCTATCACTCCATGTTTGCAGGCGGAAACCCCTTAGTGTGCTCCCCTGACACCAGGGAGCCTTCCTGTTTACTCCACACCGGGGAACTCTGGCCCTCCTCGGTTGTTCCAGGCCAGGGGCTCGGCTCCCACTGTGGGATGGATTGTTCTAGGTGGAATTAGACATTTGTGCCTGTAACTGTCTCCCACCAGAAGAAATCCATGAGTTCAGAGAATGCAATAAACTCACAGGCAGCCCCCGGGGCCTCCATCCCAGAACCGACCAGCTGGGTTAGTTGGGACAAACCATGTCCACACTCAGCCACAATTTCTGTATCTACAACTTTGCTTCAAGATCCAGCGCAGTGACTGACAAGAGCCGATACGCTCTTGAGCAGGGAATACGTGCGGCTGTCGTTGAATGCTCTGTCGTTGCGGTCTTCCTGCTCCCCACGCCAGCCCGACTCCCCCTCCGCACAGCAGCCGGAGGATATTTTAAAAACACAACTCAGCTCCTAATACTCCCCTGCACAGCTCCCTCTGATGGCCTCCCACTGTGAGCAGGAAACAAAATCCAAACATTTGAAGTAAAAACGCAGATGAAAAACCAAGGAAAGGCGGGATCCAGGCAGAGAGGGCAGCAGTGCAGAGCCTCCAGGTCAGATCCAAGGCCACAAGTGCGAGGAGAGAAGGACCCCGGGGACAGTAGGAGAGATAGGCCGAGGCCAGGGGACAGCAGCGGGGGACGAATGGGGCCAGCCCAGGAATGCGCAGGGGAGTCACGTTATCCAGTTCAGAGTTTAAAAGATTATTCTGGCCAGGCACAGTGGCTCAAGCCTGTAATCCCAGCACTTTGGGAGGCCGAGGCGGGTGGATCACGAGGTCAAGAGATCGAGACCATCCTGGTCAACATGGTGAAAACTGTCTCTACTAAAAATACAAAACATTAGCTGGGCATGGTGGCGCGTGCCTGTAATCCCAGCTACTCGGGATGCTGAGGCAGGAGAATTGCCTGAACCCAGGAGGCGGAGGTTGCGGTGAGCCGAGATCGAGCCATTGCACTCCAGCCTGGGTAACAAGAGTGAAACTCCGTCTCAAAAAAAAAAAAAAAAAGATTATTCTGTTGCTTGAGGATGAAGTCTCAGGCTACCTGAGATGTGCTTTAAAATGCTTCCTCACTAGGAGAAGGGGGCTGGGTAATCATGCCACAAGACACAGGTGGCTGCCGTCCATCCAGGATGGCTGATGGGGTCATGGAGGTGGTGGGTCTGTTTCCCACTCTCTCCATGTTTGTGTGTATTTAGAAATTTCCATCATCAAAAGTTAAAAGAGGCCAGGGACAGTGGCTCATGCCGAGGTGGGTGGATCATTTGAGGTCAGGAGTTTGAGACCAGCCTGGCCACCATGGCAGAACCCCATCTGTACTAAAAATACAAAAATTAGCCGGGTGTGGTGGCGGGTGCCTGTAATCCCAGCTACTCAAGAGGCTGAGGCAGGAGAATAGCTGAACCCAGGAGGTGGAGGTTGCAGTGAGCTGACATCGCACCGGTGCACTCCAGCCTGGGCGACAGAGTGAGACTCCGTCTCGAAAAAAACCCAAAAAGTTAAAAAGTGAATGGAATAGAGGGAGGAGGGGAGGAAGAGTTTCAACTTAGATCTCATAAGTACATGATCACTTTGGCTGCAGCAGAGAGGGGCCCAGCTGGCTCCGTTGTCCAGGGAGTGAGGAGGCTGACTTGGACAAGGGTGTGTTCACTCAGATGGACAGAAACCGAGGACCCCGGGGTCCACTTTGGAGGCAGAATCAGTAGGGTGTACACTGCTTCCTTATGCGTGATCTGCATGAGTACGGCAGGAGCCAGGGTGACACCACATTTTTGGTTTAAGAAAGTGGAATGGTGGCCGGGAGCGGTGGCTCAAGCCTGTATTCCCAGCACTTTGGGAGGCTGAGGCGGGTGGATCAAGAGGTCAAGAGATCAAGACCATCCTGGCCAACATGATGAAACCCCATCTGTACTACTAAGAATACAAAAAATTAGCTGGGCGTGGTGGCACCCGCCTGTAGTCCCAGCTACTCGGGAGGCTGAGGCAGGAGAATCGCTTGAACCCGGGAGGTGGAGGTTGAAGTGAGCCGAGATTGCACCACTGCACTCCAGCCTGGCGACACAGCGAAACTCTGTCTCAAATAAAGAAAGGAAGAAAGTGGAATGGTGGAGGGATCATGTCTGGGGGAAGGGAAGGAGTGAACCCTGATTCTCAGTGCTTCACACAGGAATTCATTTCATCCTTGCCACAACCCTGTGAGATGCCGTGCCATTAACACCACCCCCGCTTCAGAGGGGAAGTAAGGCCTGGAAAATTCATGAACCTGCCCACCGTTACGCGTCGTACAGCAAGTAGGTGACCCCAGCTTCTACAA